TATCCTAATGTTGTTATCATAAACAATTATTAAACATTGCTCACATATGTTTCACGTTGCCGCTAATTATAATCAAAGCTGTTTTGGTGTGATGTATTTTTCTACACTGATTTATTAAATCGTGATAACGGTAAACTTTTGATTTGAACATGAGAGATTTATGATGAATAAAACTAGTTTTGATTATGATATATTGGTGCCAGTATATTATTTGCATATTTGTATGTGTATATACTCATAACGACGTTACAATGCGTCACGAGCGCTGATTGGTCTAGTGGTTATTATTATCCGTATTATACCAGTACATCCATTATGATTGGCCAACATGCACATCGTGACAACTGTGAATATATTCGAGATTAGGTCCTGATTAGGTCCTTATTTTGACCCGAAATTTGAATAGTAACTACATATTATTACTAGAATCAGTAGTTTTCGAAAAATTGATGGTCATAAAAAACGAAATCCAATTGACAGTGTAGGTAAAACCGGAAGGTGATAATTTGAACAATTCTTCAAAACATTCATCAACATGGCAACCAGGTTCAGATATCTACAAACATTGATCGATTGACACACTGTATCAAAAGCAATCTCCTCCGACCCCCCCCCCTAACACAACATAAAACAATCGTCAATAACTTACAATTTACAGACACACCAATAAACAAACCAGCGCCTGCAAAAAGATCACCTCCTTAATGGAGTTAATATTGTAAAATAACCAATCGATTAAATGTTGGGCGATATCTGCATAAGTTGTGTCATCAGTACTGCCGTGAACCCCGAGATTCAATACGTATTATGCGCACTGTCACCATGGTTATCCTTGGCAACCTATATCGTCTTAGTTACTATAAGTAGTGCAAGTTACCCCTGTGGCATATGCAGCAGGCTTGGTGTCTTGTGCGGACTACTCGTAAAAGACATATCCTAACCTCGGATAAATGAACAGTCAAAAAACACATAATAAAAATTCGTTTATCGTGCAAATGAGAATTGAGAAGGTAACCAATGTATCGGCAATAAAATGAAGAAAATAATAATTCTCCTTGCAAGTGGCGACATATTTAACTATTTCCACGCCATTGATAGGTCATTGGTAAGAATGCGCGTATCATGCAGAAGTAGATAATTATTTAGTCGTTAGATGGGTAAACATGCCCCACGCTCAGGCACGATACAAACGGTAGCCATAATTAGAACGTCTACCATTCTCATAATTTGGTCTGAGAGGTGAGCGGGTGGGTGTCTCATGGCCAAATAACAGAACATCCAGCAGTATAATATCCTCTGCAGTAAATTTGATTGTTAACAATAATTTCTGGATTTGTATGAATCGGGATGTAACTTTTTATAATGAAAGTACAAAGTGAATTATGTTTAATTCAATTCAATTCTATATTTTCAGTGCAAACGAAGAACACGTGAATTACCCGACAGTCATTGCTTTGAATATCATCGGAATAATACACAATGATGGGTCTGTAACAGTATGCACGGCTCACGTCTATGAACTACCCTGCGTCATGGCGATAACAACATTCCCCTTCGACACACAGACGTGTCCTGTATATTTCGGGACCTGGGTACATTTTGTACAAGACTTGGACTTCAAGGCTCATTTTGATGGGGTTGAACGAGAAAGTTTCATCGCTAACACAGAATGGGAAATCACGGGCTCTGAAGCAAATCGATACGAAGGCAGTTTTTTAACATTTGCGGGCAATTACTCATACTTGGAATTTTTGATTCACATCGAGAGGAAACCCATGTATTACATTATTAACCTGAGTATACCTTGTGTACTATTCTCTATTCTTACTGTATTGGTGTTCTATCTTCCACCGGACTCGGCAGATAAAATCCCACTGGCTGTGTCGATTCTTCTGACTCTGTTTGTATTTAATCTCCTGGTAGCAGACATCATGCCAGCATCTTCCGATGGAATGCCAATCCTATCTCTATACCTACTTATGAGCATGGCGTTGGTCGTATTGGCGGTCATCTTCTCAGCCTTTGTCATGAAAATACATGCTGCAACCGGGGAGGTCCACGGATGGACAAGGAAGATTTTTATTGATTTTCTTCCTCGTTACCTGTTTTTTAATTTACCAACCGGAAGTAAAGAGAGACGAAGGGTACCATCATACGAACCAAACTACGTACATATGCCTGGCTTCACCCCTCGGATCCAGAAGCAGCGTTCTTCTGACTCGAGACACGAAGCCGATAATTCGATGAAGTCAAAAGACACGGATGTATTTATTCAAGAAGGATGCGATGCCGCCAAAGTTCAGCACTACATAATATCGACACACGTGTTGAAAAGATTGGATATGATAATTGAAGAATTAAAGCAGGCAACAAATGATACGGTAATAGTTTAATTATGTTTCCTGTCGTTTCATTTAGTCTAGCTAAGTTCAGATGAGTTAATGGCAATGGCGACGATGACCAGCGTATGAATACATCTGACGATGACGTCAGAAAATAAATTGTGTGGTTCCGATATCATACGCAGGTACGGTAGGTTAGTAGTTTATTTCTTTACTTTCTCGAGACACATTTTTACGATCATTTACCAAACACCATAAAAATTTAACTGTAATTAATCGTAAAGTCTTCTCAATTTTGCCAAACTTGTGGATAATAGTCGGGTAAATTCGAATGTCATTGACATCTTTTGTGAATCTAAACATGTTTTTCTTCTGTTTGGCCAAAACAAAATTAGATTTAGATTTAAATAGGGCAGGGATAACAGAACCACATTTTTAGCTCCGCTGTCGACAAAGTCGACACAGCAGAGCTGTTCATATTACTGATTGTCCGTCGTCGTCCGTCGACGTCGTCGTCCGTCGTCATCAACTTTACAATTTCAACTTCTTTCTCAAAACCGCAAGTTAGAATGTTTTAAAATTTGATATGCAAGTACCTTGGATGGTTATTTCTCAGATTTGATTATTTCATGTCAAAATCTAAAATTCTCTACTTTTGGTGAATATTTTTGTAATTTTAAGTAAAAAGTGATATTTTCGACTTCTTGTAAAATACTGCAAGTCCGTTTACTTTGATATTACATATATAAGTACTATATGTGGACCTCTCTCAGATTTGTTCATTTCGCGATGATATCTTCAATTCTCCAATTTTGATTAAAATTTTTGTCATTTTTGGTAAAAAGTGATATTTTCAACTTCTTGTTAAAAACCGCAAGTCCAATTGCTTTGATATTACATATAAAGGTACTACATGTAGACCTCTCTCAGATTTGTTCATTCCATGATGATATCTTTAATTCA